CTCAGCATTTTCATGATTTCTAAGGTAAAATCTTTTGGTGTTATCTTGAATGATCTTGGAATCACTTTAACACTTGGATCCTGATTCCTTTTTTTTTTTTTTTTTTTGATACTGGCCTTCCTGAAATGCTTTGTGCCTGAAGTATTTCCTTATTTTTTTGGAAACAGTTTCATATCTCTGCACATTACTTTTTCAGTAGTATACAATGAGAAGATGATCAAATATGTTGAAAGTGGCTGATAAATTCCAGGTTTGGGGACTCTGGAAATAAGACCTAGGTGCCCACACTTTTGTTTCTACCCTATTTTCCCTAAAATAAAGTCCCAATAGTAGTGTCTGGATCCCACATGGCTCCTGCATGTCCTCATCCTCCATAAAGTCTATGAAGCAACTGTCATCTCCAGTATTTACATTTTCTACTTTTTCTCCTGTTGAAAATTATTTTGGTCAAGGACATAAAGTAGACCCTCTGAGTAAAAATAGATTTTGCTCTCCTGGAAGTTAATGGTCTAAAAAAGTAAAGCCAACCAACATGCGCTGTCTGGACGCAAGCAGAAGCCAGTCTTCCCTCGGGGACAGTGGCAGTGTAGAGGCTATGAAGGTTCGCGGCGCACGCCGAAGGACAGAGTGAAGATGGTGCTGTCCTAGTCGCATTTCTAGTCTTTCGGGTTTAAGTTATCTATATAACAAAGTTGTGATCTACTCTAAACTCAACACAGGTTGGAGCCGATTCAATTCTGGGATGATAACGTAGGAAGACTACGCTTCTCAAATCAAGGCACAGAGTTCTTCAGATTTTTCAATCAACAGTGTAAGCCAGTGAACTTACTTGACTGCACAATGCATACAGCTTTTGCACAGAAATTGAGAGCTATTTATAAAATATTGAAATATATGAAGGTTTACAGTTGAGAACATAGTGCAAATTGGTTTTTTTTTGAAGTACTGGGGATCAAACTCTGGACCTTGCACATGCCAGTCAGGTGCTTATGCCACTGAGTTGTCTCTCTGGCCCCTCAATTGTCAAAAATCAACAACTGTTATTTTCACTCTGAATTAGATTTTGATCAACTTTCAGGGAACTAAAGATTTCACATCTAAAGTAAGCCATGGGCTGGTGAGATGGCTCAGTGGTCTAAAGCACCTACTTGGAACAAGCTTGGCAAAGCACAGGGACCACGGTTCGATCCCCCAGCACCACATGCCAGCCAGCCCCGCCCCCTGGTGGGCTGAGCTGGCCACATACACACACACACACAAAAAAAAAAAAAAATGTTAAAAAAAAAAAAAAAAAGTAAGCCATGAAGTCATTAGGTTTTTGGAAAAAGAAAAGTATGATAAGATTCAACAGCTTTAAGACATAATAAATAAGCAAGTAAGTAAGCAACATTACCACCCCAAAACTACTTGGCCATCCATTGGTTAAAATTTAGGTAAAAGAAAAATTTCTCCATTTCTACCTTTTTTTTTTTTTTTTTTCTTGGCAGAACTGGGGATTGAACTCAGACCGTTGCGCTTGCCAGGGAAGCGCTTATTCTACTGAGCCAGTTCCCCGGCCCCTACTTTACTTTCCTAGTAGCTCAAAATTTTGAATTTTTAACCTCTAAAAACTTTCACTCATGTAGCAATAAGACAAAGGAGGCTCCTGAGCTCTTCCTTTTGCTTTGTTATTCTACACATATGAACTAACCAGACATCAAGATTATCTTTATATTCGAAATCACAGCAAATGTACTTCTACCTCTTTTTTTCTGATACTGTAGTGGAATATCAAAATATTTGGGGACTAGCTTGGAGCTAAATAAAAAACACTGCAAGGCAGTTCAGAAATAACAACTGTGAATCTGTTTTTTTAGGAGTTACTAGTGACCTCTGTGTCAAAGTGGCGAGGCTGTGTGGCATGCACAGAGCTATGGGTGAGCCACGTATGCTGCAGTTCTTTCTGCTGGAAGTGAACATGGGAGTAGTTCCTGAGTCGGCCACTCTTGCTCCCTGCTTGCTAGCGCCCAGTAACTTTTCAAAGTCTCTGCTGACTGAAAGTACGTCAAACGACTCCTTGTGCCTCGTGTGCTCTGATCGCTGGGGCAGTAGTAGTTTGTCTACTGCCTTAGATAGACAAACACATCTACTATAAATTGCCTACTACTATTGTTCCCCAACTGAGAAGCCACTTGGGTCATGGAGTAGGAGGTACTTGGGAGCCTGGCTGGGAAGTGCTCACCTCGTGGGCCAGTCAGACAAACTCAGGACAACATGGCACTGTGCCCTGGTCCAAAACAAGGTGGACGCGGGGTGCTCAGCCTTCTCTGTGCACAGTGCCAGGGGCTGTGTCCTCCTGAAGGGCAGTTAGGGAGGGTGGAGCACAGTCAATCTTTGTCCTGAGGCAGGCAGGGGGAGGAATGAGAAAACGTAAGACCCTCGAGGCCCTGTCCTTCGCCCACCTTACATGCTGCAGGCGGCACACGCTTGGCACTCAGTCCTCAAAACAGCCCCAGCTCGTCCACTGCTCTTTCCAGACTGAACTGCCCTGTCCTCACTTCCTGTAGACTCCTGGGATTATCTCAGTAACTGCTCACACACTGTAGCATGTGCATGACACTTCAGCTCTGCCAACCTTATACCTGCAAGGGAGAAACCTACTCGTCCGTTTTCAGGAATGTACCACAAGCATTATATAAACGCTTTCGAAAGACTTATTTTAAATCTTAACCTTTTTTATAACCAAAGGAGAGAGTTCATTTTTGACTTGTAAATTAGGAAAGTTCTTTTAGTCCTACTTTGTTTTAGGGTAAAACTAATCACCTTACCATGAAGATAAATACGTTCACTATAAATTGCATACTACTGCTGTCCCCTGCCTGAGAAGCCACTTGGGTCACAGAGGAGCACTCGGGGTAGGGCCTGGCATTAGCAAGACTCTGGAGACTTTGCACCTGTGTGTGTTTCTGTCTGTTCAGACTGGAGAGGAGACACAGCAGCACCCCGCACAGCGAGCTCATCAGGGACCAAACAGCAGCCTGGACCAGCATCAAGGGAGCTGGCAGGAAGGGGCAGTGTCTAAAGTGGAAGCCGCAGTGTTGGTGTTCACCTCCTGCAGGCTTTGCAGCACACCTAGGGGACAGGCCGGGGCAGACAAAGCGCCCATGCGGAAGCTGAGCTTCTTTGCCCCTTCCACACTGCTCCCCTTCTCCACCACCGAGAGACGAGGAGCTGAGTATTCTGCCGGCTTTTAGCCACCCACCTGCCACTGGGGTAAAGAGCAAGATTCACGAGTTAACACTCTGGAGAGAAAGGCGAACGAAAATGTTCACTGCTTGTGTTCGTGGCACCCGAGCCTCTCCCCACCTCCCAAAGAGCCTGGGTTCCACATGGTCAGACCGGGCTGGGGGTTGGGAAGGGGCGGCAGCCGCTCTGCTTAGCGCACACGCCCAGTATAGCGCTGTGTGTCACCGTGCATTTTCAGTCATTTGTCCTCTCCCTTCTGCCCATCTTGAAACGCCAAGTTAAAGACACGTCTTAGGATGGGCTCCTGGGCTTTCCCCATCTCAGGTTTGCATCAGCACACAGGAAAGCAGCTCGCAAAGCGCTGGTGGCAGAGCCGGGCCGGGTGGCTGCCCAGGCAGGCGCCCCACTGCACAGCCACACTGACAGGAGCCTCTCTGGGATGTTCTGGGGGGCCTGACCTGACGGACCACTGCAGAGCGTCCAGTACAGGCAGTCATGACCGGGTGGCCCACCCAACACGCCCCTTTGCACTTGCCACAGACATGTCAAAAACGTAAGTGAACACATCGACAGCCTACAACAGCCTTCTGGGTGGGGAATGGACGGTCAACGCTTGCCAGATGGCTTCTACAATTCACTCCAAGTTGTTGAAAGGCCTGAAAGAGTGGTGGTTCTAATTCATACTTTCTACAAAAATTGCTCCTGGTAGATTAAAAATAATTTCTAAGGAATTTTCTTCCTTTAAAAAATAAGAACAGTTCTTTTCATCTTCATAAGAACTTTAATTGAGAACAATATACCATAAATACTACCTGTAGTGTTTAATTTTTAGCTAAGATTTAATTTCACCCTAGCTTTGAAATAGTAACTGAATTTCAGTTAAATGTTAAGAAATATTAATTATAAGTTTATAACAACTCTACTATGAAAGTCAGAAGTCACAGTCTGGGACCGTGCATCTGGATGAAACACTGCCGGGCCCTTCTTACCAGCCATGTGTGGGAGTCCAGGTCAAGCTGAGGACGAAAACTAGTTTTAAAGCGCTGTTAAAAATTAAAACAGGGGCTGGGGAGATGGCTCAGTAGAGTAAGTGCTTCCATGGCAAGCACAAGGGCCTGAGTTCAATACCCAGTTCCGCCAAAAAAACAACAAAAATAAAACAAAAAGCTAAGCTTGTTTTGAGGCAATTAAAGTAAGTGCTGTATTTTGAGGACTTGACAGTGTAAAGAATGAAAACCAAATACGGGACTCTTACTCTGTGATCATTCTGTTTTGCTTTCTGAAATGCTGAAAATGTGGTGCAGAGGGGCCAGGGAGATGGCTCAGTAGGATAAGCGCTTGACTGGCAAACACAAGGATCTGAGTTCAATTCCTGGTTCCGCAAAAAAAAAAAAAAAAAAAAAAAAAAAAAAAATGCGGTGCAGAGAGCGGCAGCGGGCCCTCAGCCCTGCACCCCTGGGCGGGGGCTGCGGTGTCAGCAGGCGCAACCGAACTCTCTTCTGTTGGACGAACACTTTCCCCAGTCGACTTCTCAGTCCCATCTCATTTACCTTCCTCCTTTAAGAACTGCATACATATTTCAATTGCCTGCAATGAGCTACAGAATGTGCTAAATGCAGAGCGCTCCGGTTAATGATGAAAACGGGGAGGCCGGGGAGGGCTCTGCTCCATATGAGCGCACAACAAGGCGGCGTGAGGCCCCTTTTTCTTAATAAAAAGGCTAGTGGTAAAAAAGGCTCATTCTATAGAGAGTAAGATTCCAAATCACAATGAAAGGAACTTGAATAATTTACTGATTTTGTTGTTTAAAGACACCTTACTAAAAGTTGGTATCTGACATGACACAGTAACACTTGCAGAGTATTATATTGTGGTGACAGTACTGAGGTTAGCTGCTAAAGACTACTGAATGCTTGTGATATTAAACGCTTACATCTTAATTATTTATGTAGAACATTGGTCCAGTAACATAAAATAGAGAACAGCATCTGGAAATTTATCTCATGCAGTGCTCAGAGATGAGAGGGTTAAGCACACTCTGCATAATTCTCTGCAAGCAAGTCCTTGTTCACGCTGACGTCCCGGCAATCGGATGGGACATGTCCCGAGCTACTGCAGGAAGAGAATACTGAAGGCCATCACCACGCAGCACACTGCGACGTACGGGCTCTTCCGCTCACCTGGTGACAAAACGACACTCATCTCAATTACTGAGTGACTACTAGGGAGATAAGGTATTACTAGGGGATGGGGAAGCACACTCAAGATAACAGTCCTGCTACAAGGCACAGCAACTGAAGGGGGGAAGCAAACGCAGAGCTAGGAGCAACTGAAAACCACCTTCAAAACAGGATGGCTAAGCTATCCCCACTTATTTCTGAGAGCACCTCTCCTTTGCAGTATTTAGAAAATACTATAGGTGCTGCTGTATTAAGCTCAGACACTAAACATACGCAAAGCAGTATGGAGGGCAGAGATCTGACACAAAGGGCGTCGATCAACTTAAAGCCTAAGGAAGAGCTGATCCTCTTCCCATAAAAGAAACGTCCACTTGTACAAAATAATCCACCATGCTTATAGTGCTTATCTATGCTCTTCAATAATGGTAGCATTTATGACAAGGGGAGGAGGGAGGGGAGGCAATCATGGACAAAACCAGGCAGGATCACAATAAACGCACTTAAAAAATGGACTCACAATAAATGCTTAGTGAGCACCATAGGAAAAAATATTTCTGAGTTGTAGTATTAAGTCATCTATATATTGAGTATCTCTTACCCAAGGTACTGGGGATAATTATTTCAGATTTCAAAGCTTTGGGCTGCAGAGATAGCTCAGTGGAATAAAGGCTTGCCTGGCAAGTTCAAG